ACGGTGACAGCAGAGTATTAAACCAAGCATGGGGCCCTTCTAAGAATGGGGCCTTCTGTGACTGCACAGGTCACACGCCCATGAAGCTGGTCCTGTGTCTGATGCTTAAGGGAGAGGGCAAAGAAGCCTTTATCCTCTTTAAAGAAACAGATTCTCAGACACAGGCTACTATCTGCCCAAAGGTCAACTTAGGACCCCTTCCATTACCCCAGAGTAATAGGGACTTAAATATATATCATCTTTCATTTCTTTGATGAAAAGTCTAGGTTATTTAATGAATAACTACATTAGTCATGCATCTGCTACCAGACATCTTACTCTCCTATATTCAAAGTCTTCCAAACCTCCAAGGACCAGAGAAGGCCCATGAGCAATCCACATAAATGAGGCCTCCCACTGACAAAGTCTAGGGTCTGCCAAAGAGACACTAAGAAGGATCTGCCTCCCCAGGGATCCTTGGGTCCTGGCCAGTCTGAAGCTGAACTCAGGGACCCCTCTCTGGGGGCACTGGTTTGAGCACCAGTGACATTCTGCTGTTTCCTAGCTAGGGAGGAAATTCTGATTAGGCCCTGCCTCTGTTCACTTGCATTTCCTAAGCCACTGTATTTTAGTTCATGCTGTTCTCTGTTTTGGGTAACCTGATCCTGAGAACTAGAAGAATGTCTTCATCTACAACCATCCAAATCAAGAGTGACTCCCCCCATAGAGGTATCCCCCTTTCCAGTAAGACTGGCAAACTGTCCCACCTTCACCCATTTCACCCTTCTAGCACAGCTCCACCAGGACAGGGTGGAGCTGTTTTCTTACTCACGTTGTGTCCTACAAGCCTAATACAAAGTCTGGTATGTAGCTGCAGCATAGTAAACATTTGTTGAACAAATATGAATAGAGGAATTAGACACATGTGACACTATTTCCATAGGAAATATGATAAATAGAAACAGCAGTCATATCCAAATGGGTGGTTTTTGATTACGATTCTTATTTATAAGAATAATTTTAACAACTGCCATTTACTAGGCCTTTACTCCTGGACTGATTATTTGACATGCATTATATCATTTATATTTTTAAGAAACTCATGAGGATTTTTCTTTCCAGTATTACCTTTATTTTAGAGAGGAGAAAACTGAGGATCAGAGAGAGGCAGTGCCTTGTCTCAGAGGGCTGGCCCCATACGGTCTGGCCTGCCCCAGGCCTGCCCACTGGTGACCACACTATACAGCCCCTCTCTCTTTGACGAGAGTCTACCCACTATGAAAACTCTAACATCTAATACTTTGATCTATTATGTGTTTAGCTAAATAGCCAGAAATAAAAAAGACAGTTCCCTAGTACTACAGTGGGAACCACTCCTAAATCTCACAGATTTGCAGGCAGGGAAGTCTTCATTTATATTGATCCTTGCTCCCTCCCCCAAACCCAGAAGCTGAGTGCTAGAATTCTACTCCTTTCATAACTTGAAATGCAATTTACCTGATACTAGGGGAAAAGCACAAATTATCTCAATGTCTATTTACTTACAAATAGCCCATTTCTTTATCCAAAGGCTTTGAGGATGCTTATAATAAAAGTCTTACGCATGGTAAGAGTACTGAGAAAGACATCAAGAGCTGGGATTTTGGAAAGTGAAAGCAGACACACAGGCCAGGAGAGCCGAAGGTCATGGCTGTTAACCAAGCCTCATACACCCGCTGAATCCAGTCTTAGTGCAGGGTCCCAACACAAGGGACAGCACAGATCTTTGCCAGTGCTTTAGATCAAGTTAGGACTCTAAGAAAATACTATTAGAAAGAAAAATTATGGTCATAAAGTTGGTCATAAAATGATAGGTATTATGTAAGAATAAAAAAGGATCTAAAAAGGCCAAGTACCATTATTAGATATGACCAGGTGGGCACGAGACAATAAATGTCCAGGTTTATGTTTCTATAATAACTATCAACTAGTAAGTGATACTGGAAAACATAACCAGTACCTGAAACCAGAACCTTTTCTTTTCCTTTCCTCCCACGGAGCTAGCACAGCACACAATCACATTCCACTTGCTACAAGGAATAAAAACAAAATGCTTTAAACCCAGATAGCATTGTACAGAAGTGTACTTTCTTAGCTGTTTTTCTCTTAGACTTGAAAACATTCACTGACATCAATCAATTCCTTTAGTGCTAAAGCTTTCTCTGTTTTGATGGCATTTTTTCACACCAAATCAAACGAGTCATAAAAATGTCAGATTTTCTGTTGCTGAAGGATGGTGAGACGCTGCAGAACCTGGAACATGTGGAGCTGTCCGCCAACATGATGGCTGGACACTTCCATGCCAAGGAAAGGCTGTTTCCCTGCCCTGCAGAGGCCAGTCTGCTCTGCCCAGGTCCCCAGCTCACCAGTTCCGTCCCTGATCTGGGACTCTGACTGCCACTAGTCACCCTGGTGGAAGGGGGAAAACCAGGAACTGCAAAAGGACACCAGCCCCAAGCAGAAAAGAAACAGAAAACATCGCTGGGCATGATAGAGACCAGGTGTCATTTTTTTTTTTTCTTTTTACTGAAAGGAGGGTCTGTTTAACCAGGTGTCATTTGATGTTCATGTTTGTACCCCAGTGCCTTGCAGAGAGCCCTGCCTGTACAGAAGGTTCTGCGGAGCTCTCTGCTAGACTTAGCTAAGGTTTGGAGACCTAAGTTACCAGGTGGGGTCTTTGAGGACAATACCTCAAAATTCTCATGCAAAGAATAACTGCCTTCTCTCCTTTACAGGGTAATGGTAAGATTAAGTCTGTTTTAAAAGCTCTTTGACAAAATATTAGGTGCTACTCAAAAACAAGAATCACTAAGCCAATCCAGTGGCTGATTTCCAGGGTGAAGGAATGGTCGCTGCGAAAGTGGCCTCATGACTTCTCCCTTCCCGCTGGGTGCTTGCTGCCCCTTCTTTCTGCACCTTCTTTGTGAAACTCATCCTGCATCTTCCAGCAGCTCCAGCGGTTTCTCTATCCCCACGCCAGCACTTAGAGCCACTCTAACAGATGACACCACCAACAGATGCTGAGGAAGTTTAGTTCTCCTAGCTCTGTGATACCAGGCAACCCCTCTCAGGCTAAGACATGGTGACAGGGCCCCTCACAGAGCTTGAGTTATGTATTACTGAACTCAGGTTGAATAAAGCACCAGGTAAAAAGCTCTGCCCTCTTCCCATGGAGAGCCAGTACTGCCTGGTGACTCGATCTCAGCGCCTGCCTCCCTGTCCAAGTTCCAAGGGCGTGACTCCATCAGCACGGACTCTAGGAGGGTCTGTTCCATTTTGTAAAAGACAAGTCTGTTAAAACTGGAAGGCCTACTGGTTAAGGTTTTATTTTCCTAGGACTGAAAGACTGTAGCTACACTTCACAGCTTTTTCTTTCTTAAAAAACTATGGGTCTGTGTTTCCCAGAACCACATTTTACATGCGGGCCGAGGGCCCGTAGCACACGGTGAGGCCGGTGTTGAGCGCAGGTGCAGTTTATCATCTTGTGGATGAAATCGCGCAAGATTGCTTGTAGTCTTTATTGACCACTGTGTAAAAATAAAACTAGCTAGGAACTAAACTGAATGAGTCCAGCAAATATTATGGTCTTCATTCAAAACCTGCATTTTATTTCTCTGAGAGAGTCTGAGTTGGCAGGAATCACTTGCAGATTAGATAATAATTGTTATTAAACAGAACTATGTTTTGGCTTCTTTGTTTCTTCACTTACATAGATGATGTGAACTCCCTTTACAGGACCTGATGGGAGTCCCCTTGTCATGGAGATAAACATGAGGGAATGATTCTTCTAGCAAGCTGCTGACAAGGTCTCAGTGCCACCCTCCCCCAACCCCCCCAAGCCAGGAGTGGCCCTAGACAACCATTCTATCCTCTAATGTGAGAAAGAAGAGTTTAACAGCTACTTTTCTGACATGAAACTCTAAAATTAAAATAATTATTTGTGCACAGGCCCTCTAAAATTTAATTAGTTCATATCCAACAATCTCAAACTCGATTTAACTATTTAGGAGAATATTTTGAAACCAATGTTTCCAGGCAGATTCACAGGAAAAGCTAATGCTGGTTAAAACCACTTAGTTCATGGGAGCATTCCAGACATTTGTCTATGATGTCTAGGATCACCCTTAATATCATTTTGAAAACTTTACATGGAAAAAACAATGCCGATTAGCTGTAGAGTTGTAAGGCAGATCTATTATAAATAACATTTTTCTGCAAAAAGCTGGAGCTTTGTCCCCAGGGACGGTAGCAGCACACAGTAGGGCGACTCGCAGTGTGATCCAAGGGTCACCAGCAGAGTTGCCTGGGGGGCTTCTTGACACCACACAGAGTCCCACAGCTCCTGACGAGCACCTAGAACCTTACAAGACAGGACCCAGCAATCTCTTCACAAATGCCTCAGTAATCGATGTGCCCAGCAAAGTCTGAGAACTGCTCCAAGGAAATACAAGGCTTTCGCTGCTCTTCCTGTCAGCCTCCTAAAACCCATCCCTTAAGGAAGACAAGCCTGATAGGAATCAAGGCAAGCACTCGATAAATATTTGCTGGAGTACAAAATGTACTGTGTGAGGATATTACCTCTCCCCTTTTCCTCAAGCTGCCAGGAAGCTTGAAGTCACATTTGAACTCAATTATAGAAATTTGGTAGGCCTTCATGGCTTGTATTTTTAAGCTCTTTTTTTCTTACTCTCAAATTTTCACTCTTGTATTTTCCCTGGGTCTAATTTTTATCTTTTATTTATTCGCTGCCATTATTTTAGTTTATGGTTTTTGTAAGCACTCTCGAATCCTCTGTGGAATAAAATGGGGTATAAATATATAAACCCACTTTCATACAGATATAAATCAAAGTGGCTGATCTTTGTGTTCCTGGCATGTTCCTTCCCATGCTAAACTCCTGCCACCGAGACCAGGCCACGCTCCTTTGTTCTGGCTGTCGGCTGGGAATCTTTCCTCAGAGTTCTCTATGAAAGCAGCCTTACTTGTGTCCTTGGAGCTCGATGGCCGTTCCTTTTCTTCCTCCGATGTCCCACATGATGACGGAGTGATCTGAACTGCCTGAGAACAACACCCGCTGCACTGGGTCCCAGCAGAGAGCGGTCACCCCACCTGAGAGGACAGACACAGCCAGACATCAGCCACAGGGTAAAAGTGTTACTCGCCAACGAAATGTCAGTGCAAAGGAGCCAGGATCTAGTACAGTTCCTGGCATACAATAAATTTTTGTTAAAAGCACAAGTAAATAAGTCCCAAGAGGGAAAAAAATTGGCTCCAAGAATAGAAATCCCACCCTTTTAAAGCATTTTTCCCTAAAATTTAATGCACCACAAAATCAACTACTATAAAAATCAAAGAGAAATGAAAAAGACAATTAATTGGCCTTCAAAAAATAGACAGCATTCTAAGAAGAATGGAAAATATTGTACTGGAAAATACTAATCGTATTTTCTTAATTGCTACCCACCTGCCACCCTGACAATAACAGCTGACAAGTGCTCCATTAGATTTTTTACTCTTGACTATAAGATATATTTAACCTACAATATCAGATTTTAAAATTATCTTTTCTCTTTAGGAATTTTAATTTACAGATTCAGGAAAATCACTTACATTCTTAAGTGTCAGTTTCTTCAACTGTAGAATGGGAACTGTGATAATCCCACAGCCACTATGGCCATTACTACTAATGATAAATCTGCACAGCCATTACCTACTTCACAGAGTTGTGGTGAGAATTGGATCAATTACAGAGGACCACTCTGTGAGCTATAGTGCATAGTACAGATGCTGGTCACTAGATTACTCTAGTGATGTGTCTACAAAACATTATGCCAGATTTTCCTACATGGTAGACCCCTTGGAGGTGTAATGAAAACAGCAATAATTTTTTGCCAAATAAGATGAGCACAAAGCATACAAATTCTTAAAAATGTCAGAAATCCTCATTTTTTTACATTATTAAAAAAATATTATAGTCTGAAAAGAACACAAAATAGCTTCTCATTTGTTAGAATCTGACATTTTTCTTATTTAGATGATCAATTTGTTACAATGAGGTGCTATACTTTAAAAGCTTTTAGGGAAGTTTCTCTCATATAATTGTCTCAGAAGATTTCCTTATGTTCTTTTCCATAGGACTCTGCTTGGTAAGATTTTTTTTTTTTTAAAAGATCAAAAAAGGGAAGAAAAACCCCCAAACAAAACTCCACTATTCTGGATTAGGCTCACTAGCTTCTCCCTATACCTGCACCCTACCCTGCTGGTATACACAGCCCTTCCCTTAGTGCGTATGCGGTTTACTATCCCCTGAAGCTCCAGCCTTTAGCCCCTACCACCACCATCCACCCCGCAGCAGCAGCCAAGCACAGTGCAGGGTGTGGACAAGTTCTAGTATTGCCTACTGAATGAATGAAAGAGCAGATGAATGAAAACATAAAAATCCCTTTATCTCCACTTTCTGCAAATCCTTGCTTAAATGCCACCTTCTTAGAGACACTTTCCTTGATCAGGCTCATCGCTCTTCTTGTTATTCTGTTTTGTTTTACTTGATTGATTATCTATTGCCTCAATTGAAGATAAGCTCTAGGAGCGCTACAGCTGTGGGTTGTCCACTACAATATCCCCAAGACCTAGAATTCTGCCTGGCTTATACACAGAAGGCAGCCACTAGCAGGCATGGACAAATGACTGAATGAAGTAAGTAAGGACACAAATGAATGCCCATGGCCTTAGCAGATGAAACAGGCATATGATATCTCTTTTCTGGCTGACCAGTGATGTCACTGTGATGTCACTATTCTATCACTTGTACCTTTTAGGCCAGGGAATGTACTGCTCAAAGAGAGAGTCTCTGAGATATTCTAGTATGATTAGTTAAGCCACTGTGATTAGGGGGACAGATAAGAGAAAGGTGATGGCCGGGCGCAGTGGCTCACGCCCGCAATCCTAGCTCTCCCAGAGGCCGAGGCGGGCAGATTGCTCAAGGTCAGGAGTTTGAAACCAACCTGAGCAAGAGCGAGACCCCGTCTCTACTATAAATAGAAATAAATTAATTGGCCAACTAATATATTTAGAAAAAATTAGCCGGGCATGGTGTCGCATGCCTGTAGTCCCAGCTACTCGGGAGGCTGAGGCAGTAGGATCACTTGAGCCCAGAAGATTGAGGTTGCTGTGAGCTAGGCTGACACCATGGCACCCACTCTAGACTGGGCAACAAAGTGAGACTATGTCTCAAAAAAAAAAAGAGAAAGGTGACAAATGTATGAATTCCCCTACATGTAAATGGGTCGCTCAGGTTCTTTAAAGCATCATGTCAGATTTAAATAATGGTGGGCACTGATAAAAAGAGTGATTAGAAAGCCTTAATTGACTCAATTAAAAACACTTAATTAGAGAGGCTGTTCATTCTGTTAGAATCAATAATGGAAATACTGCAACAGGGCTTACAATGTACAGGTGACTGATACTTTTAGATTCCCCCATCAATATACACCTACACATCTACAAACTCTGCGCCATGAGGAGCAGGCCCTCTGTCCTTCTCTGTTGGAGACTATGGGATGAGGATGGTTTACGGTGAAGGAAGTGAAAGTTCAGATATGGATTATGAGTGCACAGGCTCTGGAACCATTATCTAGGCTCAAAGCCCAGCTCTACATTTTAAGGTATATGACCTTGGGCAAGTTATTTAATGTCTCTATGTCTCAGAAGTCTCATGTGTAAAATAGAATAGATAATAGAACCTAACCCACAGTTTTGTTGAGATTAAATGGGTTAATATATATAAGCATACAGAATAGTGCCTTGCACATAAGAAGTACTCAACAAACATCAGTTATGATTATCGTACAGGAGGCCTCATCTATACAACCCCTGTGAGGGTGTCCTTTGTTTAGTCAGCCTTAAGGCAGTGGGCTTCCAGCTCTGCGCATGTCTCTGTTGTTACCAGATTGAACTTTGTCGGATTATAAATCTGTCCCCAACAGTAGACACTGGATTCTGTATCTGTGTATCTGAGCATGGTGCAGGTGCCTGGTACACAGGAGGTGCTCAATACATGCTGACTAATCTGACCTGCTGAACTGGATGGCAGAGAATGGGAGGGCGATAAGCAAGAGCATTCAGGAGAGCCCTCCCATGGGGTCCGGCGGGAGGGCCGGGTGTAGGACACGGTGGAGCAGAGACAGAGGAGAGAGGCGCCCCAGACACAGCTTTCCTCCCGAGGGAATTCCCGTGTCTCTGGCGGCCGGGGCTTCCGGAGGAACTCTAGTTCTTTCTCCTCAACACTGGGCAGCAGGGAAAGCCCGTCACCTTCCGCAAGCCTGCGCTCCATGCGGGGCAGACTCGTGCACCTCACACCCCAGCCCAAACTGTGCCACAGTGGAGGACTCCAATGTTTATAGTTTCCTGGTGTTTATATTTTAAATGACAAAAACCACTTCTTCACATTTCATTTTACTTCATTTAACTTCATTTCAGGTTAAGCCATCTTCCTGCTCCCTTTCTGTATTTCCTTCTGTGCTTCCTCCTTCCTTGGACCTCTCCCATATGCCCTACGGGATAATTTTTAAATTAAAATGATTTAGTTCTTAAAAATCAAGGGTTCTAGTTACTCTTTAATGAGTACAGAGCTTCTGTTTGGGATGGTGAAAATGTTCTGGAAATGGATGATGGCGATGGTTGCACAACATTGTGATGTACTTAATTGTCATTGAACTGTACACTTAGAATGGTTGAAATGGTAAATTTTATGTTATATTATCAGAATAAAATTGCCAAAATATTTTTAAAATAAAAGTTTTTATAATTATAAAATTTATCTATACTATAATATACTCTCAAAAATGTAAATGTTAATGGCTGGCTAATATCCCATCATATACTCGTATCTTAACTTATTTAACCTATTGTTAGATTTTTGTTGTTGCTATTACTGCTGTTTTTTTGAGAGCCAGGCTTTTGCTGTGTTGCCCAGGCTGCAGTCAGTGGCACGATCATAGCTCACTGAAGCCTTTAACTCCTGGGCTCATGCAATCCTCTCACTTCAGCCTTCTGAGTAGCTGGGACTACAGGCACATGCCACCACGCTTGGCTAAGTTTATTATTATTATTATTTTTTTTTTTGAGAGAGAGAGTCTCGCTTTGTTGCCCAGGCTAGAGTGAGTGCCATGGCGTCAGCCTAGCTCACAGCAACCTCAAACTCCTGGCTCAAGCAATCCTCCTGCCTCAGCCTCCCAAGTAGCTGGGACTACAGGCATTCGCCACCATGCCCGGCTAATTTTTTGTATATATATATTAGTTGGCCAATTAATTTCTTTCTATTTATAGTAGAGATGGGGTCTCACTCTTGCTCAGGGTGGTTTCGAACTCCTGACCTCGAGTAATCCACCCGCCTCGGCCTCCCAGAGAGCTAGGATTACAGGCGTGAGCCACCGCGCCCGGCTATTATTTTTTTGTAGAGATGGGGTATTGCTGTGTTTCCCAGGCTGGTCTCGAACTCCTGGGCTTAAGCAATCCTCCACCCTTGGCCGAATTTCTGATTAGTTAGCAGAGAATCTCAAATGTAGGACTGAATGAATCAAAGAGTATAAACCATTTTAGAAATTTAATACATGTTACCAAATGCTCAGCAAATTAATTTTTTGAGACTTTTACCACATACCTTGCAAAAGTGAAAGACTATATGAAATAGTTGCAAAAATCAGAGTTGGAAACTGCTGGGTCTGTCTTTACCAGACTGTGAGATCAGTGTAACTCAGTGAGAGTGTCACAAAATACTCTTAACAGAGAGATGTACAGGGTAACATGTGGCTAAAGGAGAGCCTAAGAAAGTCCTCAGACCACAGAGCCTCTTGAATAAAATATGTGACCTTTTGATGCAGCATTTTGCTCTAGGTTGAAGCAACAAGGGTTTCTGTAAGGCTACATGTGCTCCATCCTAGACTATACCTTCTTCTGGAGAACCACAAGTGTACATCCAGCTGGCTCCTTGCCACCACCCCAGGAACGTCTCTGAGCGTGTTCAGTTCAAGTGCTGTGACACCCTTTCCCAGACCTTCTCTACCTACAATGCTCTGAGTTTCAGTCAATGGCCTCACCATTCACCAAAT